CTGTATAGCATTTAACCCACACTGTATATGAAGAGATAATGGATTGTTGTCCCGAGATCTAATTGCTGAACCAAGATTCAACACTGTCATACTGTGTTTCAGCAATAAAGAAACCTGATCCAAGAGATTGTCCGTGGTGATGTGTGGCAGCAACAGTAGAATGGAGTGACCCGTCACATATTGTTAAACTTTTCCCACTGGCTTTTATTTAATAAATGCCTTTCCAGATGTTCTGTTCAGCTTCAATATAACCCTATTAAAGAAAGTTGGGCCTTTAAAGGCACAATATTTTTTTTTTTCTGCTTTGAAAATAGCAAAAATAACTATTAGATACTTAACATTATCCCAACAGTTTCCACCAACTTTCAAATCCGGAGAAATGTACAGCACGGGCCGTTTCTTTATTTTTATTTATTTATTTTTATTATTATTAATATTATTATTTTAAATATAACTACAACATTTCAGTCTTTCCAGTTCACATTCATTAACAGTATCTATACAATACATTAAAGGTTGAAAAACAGAGAAAAAAAATAAGAAAAATGACAAATAGTTCTAGTGACATATTAACCATTAAAAATTTCTGAATGAATGTTCATTACTGATATGCATTTCTTGATTTTAATTAAATTAAGAGACTTAAAATAAAAATCCACCTCTATCAAAAACAACTTAAAGGGGTGGTTTACTGCTTTTTTTCTTTGCATGATTGTGTTTATGGGGTGCAACATGTATTTGTGGTTTTTCTTTTTTTAAAGCCTTATTTTTCATAAAATTCACCTTTATTGTAAGCCGCGTTCTCCTCTCTCATCTGAACCATAGACAGTATAAGAAATGGACAGAGCCATCTCATTGGAACTCCATTGAGACGATTGAAGCCCGTTTTTGGCGATTTTTTAGCACTTCTGTCCCTGACGCGCAGACTCAAACAGAACTTGACGACGTAGATGTGACGAGAGCAAACCGTCTGTCTTCTAGTGCTGTGGCACGAGAAATCTGAATCATTCGCTTCTGAAACTTGCAGAGCCGAGAGTGTGAGTAGGAGCTGTCCATGAGCTAGGAGCAGGAGACACTTTTGCTAGGTATTCTGATTAATTATTTTGTCATTTTGCCTCCACGTTGCCCCGATTGCGCGTGAGCTTCTCCTCCTGTCCATACAGTAATCTCTCTACTGTGCGACAGAGAGTCGCGTGGGTATGATGCAATCGTTAGCCTACTTTCACTAAAACTGCTTCTACGGGGCCATAACATAAGCTACAAGGTAATGGAGCCTTTCATACATTGTCATGTTTCTTTAGAAATAAATAAAGGACAAATGGGGTCTTCAAACGCCTCAGAGGTAAAGTTATTTGCTGTCAAAGTGACGCCGAAATGAATGGGAGTCAATGGAAATGCTAACGCAAGTGAAGTTCTGCCACAAGATGTCAGCTCCTGCGAGGCTTCAACTTCCGGTCGATGGATTACCCCTTTGATCTGAACGAGCGGGAGGCCCCTCGGGCGGCCAGGGCGGTGAAGACCCCTTGGGCGGCGAGGGCGGAGCAGACCCCTTGGGCGGCCAGGGCGGAGCAGACCCCTTGGCCGGCAAGGGCGGAGCAGACCCCTCGGGTGGCCAGGGCGGAGATCCCCTCTCAGGACCAGACACTGGCTCAGGAACAGAAATGGTCACAAGAAAAGACACAAACAGAGAAACAAACACTGGGTCTGGAACAGACATTGGCTCCAGCTCTGGAGCAGGCACTGGCTCTGCCTCCGGCTCTGGAACAGGCACAGGCACTGGCTCTGCCTCCAGCTCTGGAACAGCAAACACTGGCTCTGCCTCCGGCTCTGGAACAGCAAACACTGGCTCTGCCTCCGGCTCTGGAACAGCAAACACTGGCTCTGCCTCCGGCTCTGGAACAGCAAACACTGGCTCAGGAACAAACACAGACATGGGCACAGGACATGGGCACAGAAGCAACGTGAACAGTCTCTGGCTGGGCAGAAGCGACAAGAACAGTCTCTGGCTGGGCAAAAATGATGTGAAGCGTCTCTGGCTGGACGTGGCTGACGTGAAGCTCTGGCTGGATGTGGCTGACGTGAAGCTCTGGCTGGACATGGCTGACGTGAAGCTCCGGCTGGGCAGGGCAGACGTGGAGCGAAGGTTCGGAAGACACGACATGAACGGTCTCTGGATCGGTAACAGGACAAGATAAGGATTTACAGATGGCCTCCATAGCCGTGACAAGACAGGACAAAGATTCATAAACAGTTACCTTTGACACCTCCAAAGGTGGTAGCATCAAGAATCTACAGTGGTAGCATCAAGAATCTGGTAAAGTTCATTAACAGGACAGGTACCGTGCACATCTATGGTACTTTTGACCATGACATGACAGGCTGAGAGGACATTGCTGGGCGTAACCACCATACAAGTGGCTGAAGCAAACACCACCGCTTCAAGAGGTTCTGCAGCACGTGCCGCCACCTCTGGATTAACTGCAGCGGGTGCCTTAGCCTGGGGCAGTTCTGAGGTGGTATACGCAGCCCAAATGCAAAATAGAGCGATCCCCATCATGGGGAGCGCTTCTGACAGGGTCGGTGCAGGATATGAAGGATCAAATTGAGTGGGCTTGGGGATACTAGCTGCGCATGCAGACACCAGTGGTGCATCCCTCACACTGGAAACCAGGCTGGGAAATCAAAGCACTGACCTTGAATATCTGGGTGTGGCAGACAGGATGTGAGAAGATTCTGGCTGGTCAGTGGTGACATGATGAGACTCTGGAAAATCAACTGTGACTTGGCTTGACTCGTGATGATCAACTGTGACTTGGCTTGACTCGTGATGATCAACTGTGACTTGGCTTGACTCGTGACAATCAATTGTGACTTGTCGGGGCTATAGAAGATCAGCTGCGACGTAACGGGGCTCTGGAAGATCTGTTGAGATCAAACAAGGCTCTGGAAGATCTGTTGAGACGGAACAAGGCTCTGGAAGATCTGTTGAGACGGAACAAGGCTCTGGAAGATCTGTTGTTATAGGCACAGAGGTAATGGTGCATTCTTCCGTTGACCCCCACTGTGAAAGACGAGCCAATTAACAGAAGAGCATAATCTAAAAAGTGACAGAGCGATGTACGAGGACCCTCAAGGATAACTTGAGATCTTAGGAGTTGATTTATGCCGTCACAAAAAAAGTCAATGAGAACGGAATCAGGCAGATTAGGAAAAATATGCTAAATATGCATAATATGCACGCTCCTGCACCGCAACACACACTGCAAACGGGTGTGAAACGGAGGTTAGATCCACTACAGTTCTAAGAATCTTAGATGTGTTTAAGATCTCTTTTTTTTCGTACAACAGCAGCACTCATCTTCTTTGTTTATTAGTGGATGCGGATGACCAGTCGTAGACCGGAAACTGATACGCCAACTTCAGACAAAAGCGGAAGTTCGAAACTACGGTTGTGCACATAGCCCATGGTGCCGACGGAGCAACAGCGCAAGTTGCGATTTGACAGACACATTTCAAAACAACTGTGGTGGAGCCCTGCGCTTCAGCCAATAACAGACATATCTGAAGCACTTCAGCCAATAACAGACAGGTCTAAATCGGGTGCAAAACCAATCAAAACCTCCAGTTTGGCTGGGGGCGGGGCGTTCAAACCGCGCTTTGACATTTCAATCACTGGCGCTCGTGTTTGAATCAGTAGCGCTAACGTTTCAATATGTCAGTGACTGTAAGTGAGTATTCTGCTCATATTTAATTATGGCAACTACTGAAATGGGTCACACCATTGATAATACCAGAGCACTGAGCAGTTGAGGTAAATAAAAAAGCTCGGCTCAAACATGCATGGACGCGGTTTGCAATGGACAGAGCAAGAATGTAAGTGTCTAAAATACATGCACACAGTTCAATTAATGGTAAAGCTTTCCCTGTTTAACAATACATTTAAACTAAATATACGAAGCAAACTTTTTACAAAGCTGAAAAGTGAAAAAACAGTGAAATATCGCATGATATTGATCTGTCTATCAGATGCATGTAAAAGTGTAGTTCGTTCCTATAGCAACAGTGGGCTACAGCACATTTTCGGTTGGCTATGATGAAAAAAAGATCATTTAATTTAACATGTTAATCATACCCCATTAATTAGTTTTTTTTTTTTTTTGTTTTTTTTTTTGTTGTTGTTGTTTTTTTTTACTTTTTTTATTCATTCTGTTTTATTGTTTTTCATACCTTTTTAATCGGACCTCTCAATTAACCTTCTTTGCTTTCAATTATGAATGATTCAAATCAAAACATTCAAATGACCTTACCTACACCTTTTCAAAATTAGTAATAAAAAAATTGCTCTTGACAACAGAGGAAGCTAGTAGTCTATATGTGAAGCACTTTTATCCTTGATGGATGCACTTTTTTGGGCTTCAAATTTTCTCCAGTCATTCACTGCCATTATAAAGTTTGGAAGAGCCAGGCCATTTTTTAATATAACAATGATTGTATTCGACTGAAAGCAGAAAGTCATATCTTCTAAGATGACTTGAGGGAGAGTAAATCGTGGGCTAATTTAAATTTTTGGGTGAACTATCCCTTTAAAGTCATACATCATTCTTTTGAAAATACCTGACAGTTTGATAAACTCAGATATATTATATTTTATGTTTGTCTTCATGTTTCATCAGTCAAAACATCACTATTTGCAAGTTATTATATCCATATAAGGCATTTCCTGAAATGTGTAAGTTTAATACTTCTATGCATCAGTACTGGGCCTTCAGTACGAATGAAACAGATGACATGAGAGTTGTTTAGCGCTCCATTTCGCTATCATCTCCCTATTTTGGGTAAAAAATAGAAAAATACTAAAGTACTTTGTAACGCAGTTACTTGAGTAGTTTTTAAGCAAACTACTTATTTACTCTTACTTGAGTCATATTATATTTCAGTACTTCTACTTGTACTCCAAGTACATTTTTCTTAAGTACTTTTACTTGGTTAAAGTGGTGAACTTATAAAATCCTAATGCGTTGAGAAGGGAAAACAAAACTTTTATACATTTACTCACCAATAATGATGCCTTTTTAATTTGGTCAAGGGCAACCAGCTGCTTCCCATCCCCTCTGGTTGGCTTCCCACCTTAAAGTAAAATTTCAAAATTATTATAAAAGGGGGTTAAAATGAAGCTTGTGAAAGCAATACTTTTTTTATATACACATCACATTTTCTTGAGGTGCAAGGAAATAAACTTGAGGTGCAAGGCATACGCGATGGTATGCCCGCACACAAACATAATTTATTCCACAGAATATTAATTGTTTTTTAAGGACAGAAGAGATTATGAGCATGTTTTGTACCATTCAGGTTGTTTTTCAGCAAAGTCTCCAGATCAAATGTGCCCAGCAGCAGATTCCACACCATGGCAGTAGCAGAGGTGGCAAGGAGGGCTGCTTTCCACACTTCTGCGTGGCAAAACACCACAGAGCCCTTTATAACTTCAATCTGAAAAATAATTTATTCATTTATTGGCATTGTTTCATATTGATTCCAATAGTTTATATGTTTTTATGTATAAAAGCAGATTAATGATAAAGATATGAAACAAATTAATAATTGCCCTAAATGTTCTTAAAGGAGGAGGACAGGGTGGGGGTATTTATTAATAAATAAATAAAAATTCAAGGGGGTTACTCACCGGTTGCACTTCTCAAAAGAGGAGGAATCTAAATCCTCCACAGGACTCCTTCCAGTCTTGTTCATAGAAGAAAAATAAAAGTTATTCTCTTCAATAAATTAAAGTGCAAATAACTTAAATCAAATAATTAACACTATCAATCAGCCCAACATCACAAGTCTCTACAGCTCTGCTAGAGAAACAATTTTAAAAAGCAAAATCAGGAAGGAGGAACTTACCTTTTGAGCAATAATGGCGAGGTAACTTTTCATTTGAGGTAATTCTAGAAAGAGGTTATATAAAGAAAAAAAAAACAATAACAATCACTTAATCAAAATAGTAATGCCCTAACGTTAATGTTTACTATTTGAAAGACATTTCCTGCAACTGTGAAGGCAAGCCCATTGATAGAGCTCTGGAGAGGAAACCTGGTTGTGAATGCAATTTTCTTTCACCAATTTCGACCAAATTAAAACTCCACAGGTATTTTTTTTTCTGGAGCCGATTGCCTTCTTGAGCCGTTGGCAGAGAATTATCATTTATTCTCATGAGCAGGGGCGGAGTGGGACCAAAAAATCAACCGGGAAATTTCGTAGACCGCACCGGCCCTCGTCGCCGGCACGATTAGCCAATAGCATTTGGTTTTACTGATTTAAAGGGAACTTTGTTGTACTAGTATGCTGGATTAAAGTTCATAAATGGTCGTTGTGTCCCATAGTACTTTCTAAAAGTAGTTGGGTGGACTCTGTGCCTCTAGGGGGGTTCGGGGGCATGCTCCCCCGCAAGAAAATTTTGGACATTTTAAGGTTATAAATTAATGCATCAATCTCATGCTCTCTGAGAGATTGAAATTAAGACCCATGAACTGCTCGTTGAACAAAGAAAAAACATTAATTTGTACCAGGACAATAAAGAGGGCTCAAATATTTTTTTAGTTATGAGAGTCTCAGTTTGCATTACATTATCAATGGTGTTTTAGGATGCCAAACAATTATTATAATAATGTAATAATGATTTATAATTATTCCTATGAAGTACAAATCCATTTATAGCCTATAAATGTGTAAATGAAAATGAGTATTTCAAAAGTATATTTTAACCTACATTACACTATAATATAGGAAAATTAAAATACTTTTGTCCTAATTTCTTAACTTGCAAGAAATAAACCCTTTAGCTTTTATTTAGGAGAAAACACCAGATGATCGCGAGAGCAAAGTAATCACGCAGAACAAACTGGATGCTATTCTAATGTCAGTTATTATAATGGCGCAACGCCATTTCAATTTTAGTTCATTGGCAAAATATAACATAAAATATAAAATTAGGTTTTACATTTTACATCTTTACATATCTGTGTTGGGAAAAGGGAGAAGAGAGAGTTCGGCAAGGCTGATTGAAGCTTGAAGGCTGATTCAGCGCATCAAAAAGCTGCATTCACACACTTCACGCCCTACGACCTATGCCACTGATGCTATTCTATGACGGGTGTCGTTTTGCTGTAAAGACAGGCATTTAGTGCAAATATATGCTCCGTTATAAAAAATGTAAAAAAAAAAATTGTTTTCTTCCCTTAGCTTGGGCCATGGCGAACTTACATTTTATCAGACCGGGCCGGCCCTCACGGCCTCGTAACACTACCGGCCCACCGGGAAAACTCCCGACTCTCCCGATTGCCACTCCGCTACTGCTCATGAGGTTATGTTCTCTAGGCCATGACTTTTGTTAACCCTCTACGAATTCCTCCAGAAAGAAACAAATAAATACACGTTAATTCTAAATTGAATCTTATCAACGGCTAAGTTATATTAGCACCCACAGTAACGTTACGTTACCTCACCAGCTAACAACATAGGAAGTGTATGGGCTCAAACAGGTGTGTTTGGCAAAAAATAAATGCTAAGTTTATACTTCTCTGCCACCGAAAAAAAACCCTGCAAATAAATATAAAATTAGGAATACTTACGATTGGTGATAAGTAGGACTTAAAGGATCTCCAATGCTGAAATCGCAATTTTTACTCCCAGCCGTTATCTTCCGGCGCGAAACTTGACTTCATCTCATCGGATACGGGTCTCGGGTTATGACTATAACCCTTGTTCCCTGAGAAGGGAACGAGACACTGCGTCGATAAAATCGACTCTTTGGGGACGCTCCCTAAGCGTGCGCCTCTGAAGTATGAATGAAACTAATCCAATCCTGATTGGTGTTGCGTCGTGACGTAACATGTGACGGCATACCCGGAAGTATAAAAGTGACGCTGTCACAACACACACTAGCCTCGCGATGAAGCAAGACGCTCAAGGGTCTGAAAAGGGGGCGTGGCAACACGACGCAGTGTCTCGTTCCCTTCTCAGGGAACAAGGGTTATAGTCATAACCCGAGACGTTCCCTATCGAGGGAACTCAACACTGCGTCGATAAAATCGACTCTTTGGGGAACGAGTACCCACTAGGCCACGCACCGAACAGACCCGCCCCAGAGTGAAACTGATTAGGCACTCAGCAAGGGCCGAGTACGTGTGCACCGGGCGTACTGGGAAGGCTGAGACTGTAAAACCTGATGAAAGTATGCGGGGTAGCCCAGCCGGCTGCCTCACAAATCTCCTGCAGAGGTACTCCCGACAGAAGGGCCCTAGAGGAAGCCATGCCTCTAGTCGAGTGAGCCCTTAAGGCCAAAGGTGAAGGAACCCCACGCACCTTGTAAGCCTCAGTAATAGCCTGGACAATCCAGTTACTTATAGTTTGTTTGGTCGCCGGGAGCCCCCTCTTAGGTGACCCAAAGCATACTAACAACTGGTTAGATCTTCTCCAAGAAGCAGACTTTTCCAAGTATACACTCAAAGCTCTGACGGGGCAGAGCAAGTGAAGCCTCTCAGTAGTAATAGGATTCACTTTATGTCAAAAAGATGATTGATTGACAGGTGACCCGCCCCTTCCCGCCCCTTTCCCACGCCCCTTTTGGCATAGGATGAAAGGGTTGAATCTAGAGCAAAGGAGATAAGAGGTGATAAAAAGTATCAAAATGAGATAAAAAGTATCAAAAATGAGATAAAAAGTATCAAAAATGAGATAAAAAGAGAGCCATCTGTGTTAGCGAGATAAGATCAAAAGGCATCAAATGGATTTGACAGTTAGTTTTATGACCTATTTACCGCCTAGCCTTGATAATGTCCTTTTTTAACATTTGTTTTTATTTGTAAAGATAAGATTAAATGGATCAAATTGAATTTGACAGTTAGTTTTATGACCTGTTGACCGCCTAGCTTTGATAATGTCCTTTTTTATTATTTGTTTTTAATTGTAAAGATAAGATTAAAGGGATCAAATTGGATTTGACAGTTAGTTTTTTAACCTATTGACCCTTCTAGGTTTGATAATATCATTTTTAACATTTTGTTTTTAACTTTCAAGATCAAAAGGGATCAAATGGGGTTTGACAGTTAGTTTTATGACCTATTGACCTCTTCAAGTCTTGATCATGGCTTGTTTTAACTGTGGCTTTTGAAACAATGAGAGAAAGTGTCTGTTTGAGTGTTTTGAACGTCGCCGCATCCCCTCTCCTGAGCTGCAGCTGTGAAAGTGATAATAAAAAAAGTGTCAAAGTTTATCTGTTCTGTAAAAATAATATAAATTAAAAAAGACTATCCACTGAACCAAGCATTTCATTTTAAATAAAAGATTGTTGAAACAAACTGCTTATGAAAAAACAATGCAAATGCCCCTCTCATTCATGGCTCATGGCTCAAAACATAAGTGAGCAGCGTGCATCTGAATGTGTCTTTTTTGTGTCTGTGTGTGTGTGGGGGTGTTACATGATACCCTCCGCATTCCTGAAGACACTGTGGAAGTGAGGACAATTTATATATATATATATATTATAATTACTTTCACTATACATGCTACCACTAGGCTCAATTTTTAGGAATCACACGGTGTCTTTTGATTTTAATGCAGACGACACTCAAATCTATCTCTCTTTGAAACATAATGACAAGCAAGGCCTAGAAACTTTGCTTGCCTGCTTATCTGACGTACGGTGCTGCATGTCCTTGAATTTTCTGCACTTGAATGAGAGTAAGACTGAAGCAATTGTTTTTTGGCCCCTCTGTTGGAAAAGCAAACCCGAATACTGACTACGATTATTTAGACTCTAAACGAGAGCACACATTACTTTTTTTACGATTTTATTATCTCTAAATTGGTTGCCAGTGTGTTATATAAATTTTGTTGCTAGTTGTAAGGCTTTGACTGGTCTTGCACCATCATACCTGTCAGATCTTTTAAATGTGAAAAAATTAACAAGATCGTTGCGATCCTCAGACAGCATTATACTGCCATATCCAAGATCGTGCGTTTTCAGCGGCCAGTCCTAGGATATGGAATAGTCTTCTTCCTTTATCTGTGAGGTCTGCATCGTCTGTACATGAATTTAAATCTAAGCTAAAGTCTAATGTTTTTACTCTTGCATTTCATTCATAACGTTGGTTTCTCTAAACCCTAACATAGTGTTTTATAGTTTGTTATTAGTGCATTGTGTGTGGTTTGTTTTTTACTTCTCCATTTGTACAGCACAGTGGTCAGCTTCTGTTGTGCTTTATAAATAAATGAAATTAAAATAAATGAAATGATATATGTCACACTAAAGTTGAAAAACATTATGTTCTATATAAATTAAATGGTTATAAAATTTAAATCTAGTCATTTATAAATATAATATTTAACACTAACTATAGTTGAAAAACACTGATCTTCAAAAGTATATACAGTTTTTCTCAATCGATTTGGTACATTTCTCCAAACTCAGGTAACTGCTCTCAAAACAGTTAGCACAGCAAACTAAACACACTCTTATGTTGGCGAAACAGCTAAGTATTCGCTGCACAATGAAACACAGCATTTTATTCTAGTAATGCATTTATTAAAAATCAATATTAACATTAAAACTAAAAGTGTGTTCTCTGTTGATTTGATAACAAATTCAGCTGAAGATACACAAAGAAATAAATGGAAATACATGTTTTTCATTAAGTTCTTTAATGATGAGTCCATGTGTATTACAATGAGTTGTCACCCCACAAAATAAATAAATAAATACAGTTTTTCTCAATCGATTTGGTACATTTCTCCAAACTCAGGTCACTGCTCTCAAAACATTTAACACAGTGATCTGTACACTTCGTAATGGTCCTAAACAGATAGTAAATTCTCCTTCATTTCATACAAATTACAAATCAAAAGCATAATTTTCTCAAAACACTGTGCACAAAATTCCCTAATGTTATCACAGCAGTTCCTACACCCAACCGAATCTTTAATATATCAGGAAAAACTTTTGCAACTTTTTCATTGGTCTTCACAAAGATCACAAACATTTTTGTACCATTTTCAAAACTCAACAAACAAAACTCTATGAATTGTAAAATAGTCAGTTGCACACCTTATGTCCTCAATTAACCCCGAATTGATATCTGAAGAGTTAATAATCCCCTCAACACAGAAAAAGCCAATTTCCCAATTGTTCACACAGCTGTCTTAATTATAACAACTACAAAAGGGGAAGAGAAGAAGAACAAACATGAATGAGGAGAAAATACAATAAAAAGAAGGGAATGAGCAGTGGAAAAGGAAGAGGTGTAAGAGCGAGAGGTGGTGGACAAGGTAGAGGGAAAAGAAGAGGAAGAGGAGATGGAGAAGGAGCTGAGGATGTAGGAGAAAGAAGAGCTGAGGATGTATGAGAAAGAAAAAGAAGAGCTGAGGATGTCGGAGAAAGAAGAGCTGAGGATAGGAGAAATAAAAGCTGAGGATGTAGGAGAAAGAAAAGCTGAGGATGTAGGAGAAAGAAAAAGAAGAGCTGAGGATGTCGGAGAAAGAGAAAGAAGGACTGAGGATGTAGGAAGTGGAGAAGAGGGAGAAATGTGATCGGCCATCATGCTACAGTCAATGTCCCTGGACAACGAGGAGGCAACATCACTCTCTGTGCCACAATTTCTGCAACTGGTGTAAAACAACTTTTTTAAAAATGTAGGAGCCTTGCTGTGTTAAATGGTCAAAAGAGAGCATCTCTTTTGACCATTCAACACAGCAAGGCTCCTACATTTTTAAAATCTCCTCAATGAAATCCTCTTTCCGCAGGGTGATCAGGAGCAAATGGTGTGGTGTGAATCAAATTGAGGAAATCTTACCAACAAGAATACAACTAAGTCTTCTTCAAGTGATGGAAGAGGCCTGTGGAGATATTGGGGAACAAACGTGTCTAGGATGGCTACTGCATTCAAGGCATTTTTTCCTGCGATGCATGACTCGCAGGAAAAAAAAAAAACATTTGCTGTGATGTTGATGAAATTCTCTGGCCAGATGTAATTGAGAGGCATGATAAATAAATTGATTCAATGAATGCATTTTTTTAAACCTATGTATTTATTTGCATAATTTATTTTATTTATTTATTTATTTTGTGGGGTGACAACTCATTGTAATACACATGGACTCATCATTAAAGAACTTAATGAAAAACATGTATTTCCATTTATTTCTTTGTGTATCTTCAGCTGAATTTGTTATCAAATCAACAGAGAACACAATTTTAGTTTTGATGTTAATATTGATTTTTAATAAATGCATTACTAGAATAAAATGCTGTGTTTCATTGTGCAGCGAATACTTAGCTGTTTCGCCAACATAAGAGTGTGTTTAGTTTGCTGTGCTAACTGTTTTGAGAGCAGTTACCTGAGTTTGGAGAAATGTACCAAATCGATTGAGAAAAACTGTATTTCTTTGTGTATCTTCAGCTGAATTAGTTATCAAATCAACAGAGAACACACTTTTAGTTTTGATGTTAATATTGATTTTTAATAAATGCATTACTAGAATAAAATGCTGTGTTTCATTGTGCAGCGAATACTTAGCTGTTTTGCCAACATAAGAGTGTGTTTAGTTTGCTGTGCTAACTGTTTTGAGAGCAGTTACCTGAGTTTGGAGAAATGTACCAAATCGATTGAGAAAAACTGTATTTCTTTGTGTATCTTCAGCTGAATTAGTTATCAAATCAACAGAGAACACACTTTT